CCGCCATGCAGGAGCCGTCGGAGGTCAAGACGCACTAGCAGGCTAGTGCCTCCAAATATGAGAGTGAAACATGGAGGGATACCATTATGAACGATTCTCTTTCTGTTGATGTATAGCATTAGATCAGGAGCGGAGTTTTAGATATACTCCCCGAGTAAAAGTTGGTATTTTGAGGCGCAATTTCAACACGTGTATGCTAAGAATATGTGGAGAAAACGTTTTACCGGTCGTCGACTTCTCACTAACTACGAAGAGTTAGGCCCTGAAACTTGGAGGTCATATCAGGTAAAGCACGAGTACATACCTCCTTGAGCCGCAAGATGATACTCATCGTGATGGCTCAGCACGAGTCGAAATACCGGATATGCTAAGAATATGTGGAGGGGTGTAGTGTTCAGCCAGCCACTATCGCGAGGTATTCTTCTAGACATTATTCGCGGAATTTACTCTAACGAGGAGCGTCGTGTAGTAAGTTTTGAGTATTCAAATTAGTTTCGTGGGTTCTCGAGGTGCATAGGACTATCCTTTTCGGTGCTGAACTATCATGTGGCGTTATCGAACAACTTGTTTTGAACGACAAATCTCGTGACATAATGATGGGCTGTTTGTTGCCTACACACGCCACCCAATGACATCCTACTCAGTGAGCACCAACCCAAGGAGGGCGGACGGCGACTGACAGATGTTCATACAAAACGCCTCTACCACTGACAAGGTCGGTAGTGACAGCGTTCATCCCATCGAGGAATTTCCACAGTTATCTCGAAAACGCATGCTAGATGAGAGAAAACGCTATGGCCGTCGGTTGGACACATGATACTGTATGCAACCTGGCGTTTCACTAGGCCAGTTGTATCCGGGATTGGTCGAAACCACCTTCCTTGAGAACTCAAAGGTGATCCTCAACAGAAGCAGCAATAACTACCCAAGGGTGACACGACGCTTTTGTCATCACTAGTATTGATAAACTGCCAACTCGAAACACGAACATGAACATGCACGGTTGTCACACAACAACGTCCTCCATGGTTGGTCATGATCATCAATCGGCAACTACGCGTAAACCGTCTTGTAATACACTCTGAAAAAAGAAAAGGAAAACATCCGTGTATGCCACGAAGGACTCCAGGCACGTTAGAAGTATAAGGACAGAATTATAAGTCAATTTCCTTACAGTAGTTGTTGATGCTATTGGACAACTTGCTCGAACTGGGAGTGTTTTGCTCCGTTCGTTCGCCATCGCTTCTACTTATATCCGCTGTTCTCAACAACTGGTTCTTCACGTCTACTTCGGCCCGTAGCTCTTCAACCTCAATTTCCAACGTATTCACTCGATGTCTCAAATACGCGTTTTCCTCCTGCCAGAAAAATAAAGTGAATTTCCTGATACATGCTGACATCATTTTTTTGTGAAAACATTATTATACACGTCGTGGAGGCTAGACTATAAACTATGAAACTTCCTCACCATGAGCCTGGCCACTTCTCTAGCATTGTCGTTGTTGCTCGTGGGAGTAGTATCGGACATTTCTGGTGACTCCGACATCAACGGAGCGCTGGTGTCACCAGCCTCCGACACATTGCTAGGGATTCCGATCGACTCCGTCTGGTAGGGCGGAACTCTTTGGACGGACACTCTCAGCTGAGCCGTATCTTTTAAATTCTCTGGAACTCTATCCTTGTCCGTGGCCTCCTGAGCTCTTAGCGCTGCCACTGCTACCTACAGCATAGCTCTGCACACAAAAATGACGACAACATTGAGTCACCCTTGCGTCCCCTCCTGCTGCATCCAACTGCTCTATACTAAGGCGCCTCACCTGAGGAAACGATGGGGCTCCGACGTCAACAGTGTTGGAGGGATATGTGCTCGCTTCCCTCAGCAGAGCTCAAGAGTTCCATTATCGATCATAGGAGTTTCTATACGGGTTAGCGTGTTAGTGGACAGAAACTACATAAGAATTTGAGAATTTTTTCTCAGAATTCTCATATTGTCATACCAACACATTGCATATTCCCCCTCCCCCCACACTAGTCGCCTACCCGCTGTACCACGACTGGTGACGGCAAAGGGCCTCCTCCTACGGGGGCCACCGTCGCAGCCCCTCGAGATGTTGCCGAGGGCGGCGGGCCTGCTAGGCTCGGAGCAAGTGACCCTCGGGCTGGACGCAGCAGATCAGAGAGGGAGTTCATGCCTGAGACGAAATTCCAATATTAACATTGGACAGGCCGGACCTTGCACTGGGAGGGAGGTTATGGACACTCTGGGAGTTTGCTGAACGGGTTGCAGCTTCTGCACGTAACTGTATGTGCCTATGGAGAAATGATTCAGCCAACGAATATATGGACACTATTCCTACCTTCACTGTCGGTCCCTGAGGTCGCCCCCTGAGAATTCTCGAATCCTGACGGCTTGGTGAACGGCATCTGATACGAGTCATCACCATCTTCATTGCAAATATAGAGAGTGCTTGCTACCAGTGATGTGGTTGAGGTCGAGTCCATTCGGAAGGATGCACGACCCAAGGGCGTCGAGGGAAGACTCTGGAAGAAACCCCATAGTCGTTTTCTAAGCACGTGAGACGGCTACCTGCACTTTATACATGTTACCAACAGTTCGAGGATCTGCTGAGAAATGCTGCATTAACAGCGGCGAGGGTATGGTGAACGTCCCGGAGGGGCCGCCCTGATCCGGAGGGACGCTGAGGGCCCTCGGGGCGTAGACCGAAAACTGCCAGAGATATCATCACAAATCGTCACCAACTCGGACGACTCACCCGACGAACTGCTGGGAGTTGTCCATTCTCAAGCGAGGAAGAGATCGAGATCTGAGAGGAAATTGTGTGGTGTTGGAGGAATACATTTTCGCTCTCCTCAGCTGAGCTCAGGAGTTTACTCAATAATCACGGGGAGTTCATATACAAATTCACATAGAAGTGTACAGAAACCAATGAGATTTTTCCGAAATCTCCTCAGAATTTCATTTCTTTTTATAATTCCCCACACTAATACCGCGACTTACAGCGTTGGGAAAACTGCGCGTGGTCAACCACATGTGTTGGTGACAAATTGTCACTGACAATATGAGAAAATTCTGAGGAAATTCGGGCGAATTATTGCTGCTTTCTATGAACTTTCGAGTCGGAGGTTCCGACTAAATTCGTATATAGACTCCTATGATTAGTGAGCCCAGCTGAGGAGGGCGAACATATATATATTGCAACGCTGGCGACTTATACTATGAGAAAATGTCAAGACGTACTTACCGTTCTAGGTTCCTGTCTAGCCGACATAGGCCCAGCAAAGCTAGCCACTGAGCCCCGTGGTTGTGATGGAGGCAGGCTGGTCTGGGGAGTCGTAGTGGGCAGTATTGGACTCGTGTGGGGAAGCATATATATTCAAAGTAATAATCTTTTACAATGGGAATACAGCTAACGTTACACAAGCCAACAGGAAGAGTAATCGTACCAGAAGACAGCATGGAACCTCAAACGAGCCTGGCCGTGAGCCTTATCCAAACTAACGGTTACTTAGATAGCATTCCGTAAGTCCTCTGCCGTTGGTGTCGATAATATCATATTCCTTCAACGAGTGGACTACGTCCCGGCTCCTCTTCACCTGACAGTACCTTTACTGGCAAACAGAGAGTTCCAGTTCGAAAGAAATACAGCAGCCAACGAGGTGGCCACTTTCAACTTCGTCATGGGAATTCTCAAACTATAGTTGTAGTGGTATACACCACAGCCGCGTACCGGCATCCTTATTCACAGGAGCCGTACATCCCTACCCATCCTGTCATCAGCATATCATCATCAAAGCCAACCACGATGATGATTTACCATCACATACACCTCTCGCTCCAGGATAGTATTGGTCCCAATTGTCGCTCCGAACGACGGAGCTGATACGACTATTTCCCAATCACCCTGAATCACTAGGTTCTCGTGATGAGCCTCTACGGAGGCTCCATCAATTTTGTCAGAGTCCTGGCCCATTCCACTCTCGTCCGCATGGTATGAAACAGTTAATTTCACAGTTGACTCACATCACTCTGTTGAACAGCTATGACTGCTAATACAGACCATCCCGAATTGACCAACACAAGGAAAAATATGCAGCGGAAATATTTCAGCAGAGCAGTCGACAGCTTCTCCTCTACTACCAATACCTGCACCTGGCAAGCGGTACATACACGGATGATGCTGACGAATCACCAAGTTAAATGACGACCTACTGCCCTCCTGGCTAGTCCTCCAACTCTTCCCCTGCTCCACTTGAACTGGCTGCTCGGACGTACAGGACATTGTTGCATCTATAAAGATGGAGATGATACAGAGACAGGGACAAGGGGCTGATACGATATCGGAGGGAAGCCGATTGAGAATCAATCTGGCGAGCATAGAGAGTGCATCTTGAAGCCCACGACTCATTACCGTATGAGGACGTCCCCGAGAGCTCCTTTGAAGTTACCCGCCTGAAGAGCGAGATGTGACGGCTTCGGACAGAGCGATAGGTTAGGGTCTACTACTACTACTACCACTACTACTACCTGCCACTCTTCACAATGGTCGAGTCTGAGATTCATGAAAGTATCGACACTCTGCAGGCGGCCTTTGAGCTCCAATGTTCCCCATTTGAGACGAACCAGCACCTGAGCATGCGATTACCAATCTGTCACCTCGTCCATATCACCTCCTGTCCAGTGAGGTCGTTGAGGAATGGTTGGGGATTCACCGGGACGACCGACATGATGAAGAAGGAACGCCTGCCCGACCCACGTCCCCCCTCCCCCCAAGCGCAACAAGGAGCGGCAAGAATTCAAGAGAGCTTTACTGTATGGTAGTTGAATGGGACAATCTCATTAGGATGATTATGACCAACATGTTTACGCACAAATGTACCTCGAGGACCCGTGGAGGGGGTGGGGGTGGCGTACGAATGATATTGGCAGACTGCATTTTTAATTGTACATGATGGTGTGTGTTCCAGGGTGGGCTCAGCCAAGCTGGGCTTGCAGGGCGGCCAGCTGGTCAGCCTCTTCGTCCGTCAGACCATCTGAGCACGAGAGCTTGATCGCCTCACCAGCAGTGGTCTGTGGTTTCCCTTTTATTATACCACACCATCTCGAACGTCAACCGAATCGAAAGGGCTCTCCCCATACCCTCACCATTCCGCTGAGGCCTAGAGGACTCTGCCACTGACTGCTGAGGTCGGGCAGGCACTGCCGGCTCGGCCACCACTCCACCAGTAGGGACGTGCGCCGCCTGACATGGAGCCGATATCCTACATGAAGAAAACCCAACAATCCTACATCGACCATTTTGGCCTCCAACTCCTGAGCCTCGATTTCATCAAGTTCATTGAGGAGGTCCTCGTCGTCCATGACAGTGTTCCCACCAGCGAGGACCTACCAAATGGAGATCGGCACAATACAACCTATGGACAGTAATACATTAGCAACCTCATTTTGCATATCCTGCATCTCCTGCATGTCGTCCATAAGAACGTCAATCTAAAGAGAGCACAGCATTCACCAACGATTCGCCAAGATGTCGCCTATGCGCACGTTGTCAATGTTGAGTTGTTGGTTCATAATCTTCTGGGCCGACACACCAGTAGCCAAGGCCGAGACGGCCACTGCTGTGGTCTGGCTCGACTCCAATGACAAAATTTGCTGTTCCAAAGTCATTCCTGTAAACAAGTGGAGTTTCCTCAACGGCCTCATGGACGGCGACTCCTCACGTGAATTCATCAAAGTTGTAAGTTCACCCTCGAGCATCTTCTTTCGCTTCAAAGCCATCAATGCACCCCGCTTATCCTTAGCAGCAGCACGGGTCCCTGGGGTAGATTCCAATAGTTATTCAGAGAGGCGTGGTATGCTCGTCCCCGTCCCTGTCAGTAGGGAATCCTTACGTGCGTCCTGTTCCTGCAAAGCCATCTTTTTCTCAATCAACTGCTCTCTTTTTTCCAGAGTAGCAATAGCCTCCTTGTTCTTCATTATGGCATCAGGCAGATTCTAACACAGACTCCAACAGGGAAGGGCAGCACGACCCCGACTACTTTGGACGGAGGGGCCTGGCTGGCCTGCTGCTGGTCCTTCTTCTTAGAGCTTCCGAAGAAAAGTCGCATAGTTGGAACAAAACTCTTTGTAATCTGCCGGGACAAAACCACGCAGGTTCGATCCCTGCATTGAATACTTTATACACCCTTCTAAATCGCAGGCAACTGAGTGCCCATGGAGCCCGCCACTTTACAAGAGCAGCAATACTCACCACCACCAAACACATGATCGAACACGGTAGCGATCGGATTCGATCAAGACTAAGCTCAAGATGATCACAGCTGAGCCACAGCTGCGATAATCCAAGCTCGGTGCGGAGTCCGCACTGCGGACCTCTCGACCTCCACGGCGGAGTTCAACAAACGAGAATCGCGCTCGCCATTATAATCGATTTACAATCAAGATTCGTATTCCTAGTGGGAGATGGTATGGACTTTCGCCCGCCCCGAAATTACTCCCCTTGCCCCGAGATTACTCATGTCCCCCCGAAATTCCTCTTTTTGCCCCGAAATCTCTTCGCGCTGCCCCTGCTTGGCAAGTGAGCCTAGAGAGTGCCTTCTCTCTCGAGTGGCAAAGGATCACTTTCTTCGTGAGAGCCTAATGGTTGATACCTATAAGTAACAGTGAAGCCGAAACGATTCGCGAGTGTGAGCGAGATGTTATCACTGAGAACCCACTAGTTACAATCGAAGTGTACTCATGTCGGGGTCGACTTCTCACGGATGTGTCATCTGTGAATTTGTTGACTGATGCGGATCCCATGATGGGATTCCCATCTAGTGATATTTCGGCTAGTACTGGCGTACTCTTGTGAAGGTCAAAGTTTGGCCAGTACCCGGTGTTTGACTATGTCGGAAGTAAGTCGTTTGTGTTCGTCGGTGGATACTCCTCTTTTTAGTTGTCACCTGCGAGGGGATTCCAGTTTAATCATCCAGATCAGTGCAGTCGAGTATCTTCAATTAATTAACGATCCATGTCGGCGACATGATGTCGCTGTTAAGCATCCGTGTCCCACCAGCGGCAGGTTTGCCCTACCATGGTCTATAATCTATGGACAACACAAAGCGAGTATTTTAATACGGTACTATTAGTGCACTAATTAGTCCATCATGCATTAGTAATGAGCGGTGGTTTGCGCCGGGTTCAGCCGCTGTGAGTAATCTCGTTCGCAGGCACGCCGAGCCGTTCAATTCCAGTGTAGCTCTGGCCGTCGCGCGAGTCAAATCGAGCATGCCAAATACAATTCAAATGCAGCTATACTCAAGCAATTTCCCATTATCCAATGCTTCTCAGCAGCTTGGGTCCATCAGTGCCCTATCCGTCAAGGATTAACAATCCATACATCCATCATTCTCACATCCCGGAAACGCCACACCGGTTTCGCAGTTCATCGTGAGAGCACGTTTCGCAATCCATGCTCCATAAAAGAACACACTTTAGTAGTGTCGTGACAATCGCTGACATGAACGGTCAAATCTCGTCCACGCTCCCCAACTCTATAGTTCACAGAATCTAGGTGTATGTTTGAACTGTATCATTGACGGTCAAATTCCGTCCACGCTCCCCCACTCTATAGTTCACAGAATCTAGGTGTATGTTTGAACTGTATCATTGACGGTCAAATCTCGTCCACGCTCCCCAACTCTATAGTTCACAGAATCTAGGTGTATGTTTGAACTGTATCAGAATAGCCATGGATATGATATTCGAGACACCAAAGTTCAGCAATCGCTGACATGAACGGTCAAATCTCGTCCACGCTCCCCAACTCTATAGTTCACAGAATCTAGGTGTATGTTTGAACTGTATCAGAATAGCCATGGATATGATATTCGAGACACCAAAGTTCAGCAATCGCTGACATGAACCCTCAAGTCTCGTCCACGCTCCCCAACTCCATAGTTCACAGAATCTAGGTGTATGTTTGAACTGTATCAGAATAGCCATGGATATGATATTCGAGACACCAAAGTTCAGCAATCGCTGACATGAACCCTCAAGTCTCGTCCACGCTCCCCAACTCTATAGTTCACAGAATCTAGGTGTATGTTTGAACTGTATCAGAATAGCCATGGATATGATATTCGAGACACCAAAGTTCAGCAATCGCTGACATGAACGGTCAAATCTCGTCCACGCTCCCCAACTCTATAGTTCACAGAATCTAGGTGTATGTTTGAACTGTATCATTGACGGTCAAATTCCGTCCACGCTCCCCCACTCTATAATTCACAGAATCTAGGTGTATGTTTGAACTGTATCAGAATAGCCATGGATATGATATTCGAGACACCAAAGTTCAGCAATCGCTGACATGAACGGTCAAATCTCGTCCACGCTCCCCCACTCTATAGTTCACAGAATCTAGGTGTATGTTTGAACTGTATCAGAATAGCCATGGATATGATATTCGAGACACCAAAGTTCAGCAATCGCTGACATGAACCCTCAAGTCTCGTCCACGCTCCCCAACTCTATAGTTCACAGAATCTAGGGGTATGTTTGAACTGTATCGGAATAGCCATGGATATGATATTCGAGACACCAAAGTTCAGCAATCGCTGACATGAACGGTCAAATCTCGTCCACGCTCCCCACCTCTATAGTTCACAGAATCTAGGTGTATGTTTGAACTGTATCATTGACGGTCAAATTCCGTCCACGCTCCCCCACTCTATAGTTTACAGAATCTAGGTGTATGTTTGAACTGTATCATTGACGGTCAAATTCCGTCCACGCTCCCCAACTCTATAGTTCACAGAATCTAGGTGTATGTTTGAACTGTATCATTGACGGTCAAATTCCGTCCACGCTACCCAACTCTATAGTTCACAGAATCTAGGTGTGTACTTGAACTGTATCAGAATAGCCGTGGATATGATGTTCGAGACACCAAAGTTCAGCAATCGTTGACATGAACGGTCAAATCTCGTCCACGCTCCCCAACTCTATAGTTCACAGAATCTAGGTGTAGGTTTGAACTGTATCATTGACGGTCAAATTCCGTCCACGCTCCCCCACTCTATAATTCACAGAATCTAGGTGTATGTTTGAACTGTATCAGAATAGCCATGGATATGATATTCGAGACATCAAAGTTCAGCAATCGCTGACATGAACCCTCAAATCTCGTCCACGCTCCCCCACTCTATAATCCACAGAATCTAGGTGTATGTTTGAACTGTATCAGAATAGCCATGGATATGATATTCGAGACACCAAAGTTCAGCAATCGTTGACATGAACCCTCAAATCTCGTCCACGCTCCCCAACTCTATAGTTCACAGAATCTAGGTGTATGTTTGAACTGTATCAGAATAGCCATGGATATGATATTCGAGACACCAAAGTTCAGCAATCGCTGACATGAACCCTCAAGTCTCGTCCACGCTCCCCAACTCTATAGTTCACAGAATCTAGGTGTATGTTTGAACTGTATCAGAATAGCCATGGATATGATATTCGAGACACCAAAGTTCAGCAATCGCTGACATGAACGGTCAAATCTCGTCCACGCTCCCCAACTCTATAGTTCACAGAATCTAGGTGTATGTTTGAACTGTATCATTGACGGTCAAATTCCGTCCACGCTCCCCCACTCTATAGTTCACAGAATCTAGGTGTATGTTTGAACTGTATCAGAATAGCCATGGATATGATATTCGAGACACCAAAGTTCAGCAATCGCTGACATGAACGGTCAAATCTCGTCCACGCTCCCCAACTCTATAGTTCACAGAATCTAGGTGTATGTTTGAACTGTATCAGAATAGCCATGGATATGATATTCGAGACACCAAAGTTCAGCAATCGCTGACATGAACGGTCAAATCTCGTCCACGCTCCCCAACTCTATAGTTCACAGAATCTAGGTGTATGTTTGAACTGTATCATTGACGGTCAAATTCCGTCCACGCTCCCCCACTCTATAGTTCACAGAATCTAGGTGTATGTTTGAACTGTATCAGAATAGCCATGGATATGATATTCGAGACACCAAAGTTCAGCAATCGCTGACATGAACGGTCAAATCTCGTCCACGCTCCCCAACTCTATAGTTCACAGAATCTAGGTGTATGTTTGAACTGTATCATTGACGGTCAAATTCCGTCCACGCTCCCCCACTCTATAATTCACAGAATCTAGGTGTATGTTTGAACTGTATCAGAATAGCCATGGATATGATATTCGAGACACCAAAGTTCAGCAATCGCTGACATGAACCCTCAAATCTCGTCCACGCTCCCCCACTCTGTAATTCACAGAATCTAGGTGTATGTTTGAACTGTATCAGAATAGCCATGGATATGATATTCGAGACACCAAAGTTCGGCAATCGCTGACATGAACCCTCAAGTCTCGTCCACGCTCCCCAACTCTATAGTTCGCAGAATCTAGGTGTATGTTTGAACTGTATCAGAATAGCCATGGATATGATATTCGAGACACCAAAGTTCAGCAATCGCTGACATGAACCCTCAAATCTCGTCCACGCTCCTCAACTCTATAGCTCACAGAATCTAGGTGTATGTTTGAACTGTATCATTGACGGTCAAATTCCGTCCACGCTCCCCCACTCTATAATTCACAGAATCTAGGTGTATGTTTGAACTGTATCAGAATAGCCATGGATATGATATTCGAGACACCAAAGTTCAGCAATTGCTGACATGAACGGTCAAATTCCGTCCACGCTCCCCCACTCTATAGTTCACAGAATCTAGGTGTATGTTTGAACTGTATCAAAATAGCCATGGATATGATATTCGAGACACCAAAGTTCAGCAATCGCTGACATGAACCCTCAAATCTCGTCCACGCTCCCCCACTCTATAATTCACAGAATCTAGGTGTATGTTTGAACTGTATCAGAATAGCCATGGATATGATATTCGAGACACCAAAGTTCAGCAATCGCTGACATGAACGGTCAAATTCCGTCCACGCTCCCCCACTCTATAGTTCACAGAATCTAGGTGTATGTTTGAACTGTATCAAAATAGCCATGGATATGATATTCGAGACACCAAAGTTCAACAATCGCTGACATGAACCCTCAAATCTCGTCCACGCTACCCAACTCTATAGTTCACAGAATCTAGGTGTGTACTTGAACTGTATCAGAATAGCCGTGGATATGATGTTCGAGACACCAAAGTTCAGCAATCGTTGACATGAACGGTCAAATCTCGTCCACGCTCCCCAACTCTATAGTTCACAGAATCTAGGTGTAGGTTTGAACTGTATCATTGACGGTCAAATTCCGTCCACGCTCTCCCACTCTATAATTCACAGAATCTAGGTGTATGTTTGAACTGTATCAGAATAGCCATGGATATGATATTCGAGACACCAAAGTTCAGCAATCGCTGACATGAACGGTCAAATTCCGTCCAGGCTCCCCCACTCTATAGTTCACAGAATCTAGGTGTATGTTTGAACTGTATCAAAATAGCCATGGATATGATATTCGAGGCACCAAAGTTCAGCAATCGCTGACATGAACCCTCAAATCTCGTCCACGCCGCCCAACTCTATAGTTCACAGAATCTAGGTGTGTACTTGAACTGTATCAGAATAGCCGTGGATATGATATTCGAGACACCAAAGTTCAGCAATCGTTGACATGAACGGTCAAATCTCGTCCACGCTCCCCAACTCTATAGTTCACAGAATCTAGGTGTATGTTTGAACTGTATCTAGGTGTGTACTTGAACTGTATCAGAATAGCCGTGGATATGATATTCGAGACACCAAAGTTCAGCAATCGTTGACATGAACGGTCAAATCTCGTCCACGCTCCCCAACTCTATAGTTCACAGAATCTAGGTGTATGTTTGAACTGTATCATTGACGGTCAAATTCCGTCCACGCTCCCCCACTCTATAATTCACAGAATCTAGGTGTATGTTTGAACTGTATCAGAATAGCCATGGATATGATATTCGAGACACCAAAGTTCAGCAATCGCTGACATGAACCCTCAAATCTCGTCCACGCTCCCCCACTCTGTAATTCACAGAATCTAGGTGTATGTTTGAACTGTATCAGAATAGCCATGGATATGATATTCGAGACACCAAAGTTCGGCAATCGCTGACATGAACCCTCAAGTCTCGTCCACGATCCCCAACTCTATAGTTCGCAGAATCTAGGTGTATGTTTGAACTGTATCAGAATAGCCATGGATATGATATTCGAGACACCAAAGTTCAGCAATCGCTGACATGAACCCTCAAGTCTCGTCCACGCTCCCCCACTCTATAGTTCACAGAATCTAGGTGTGTACTTGAACTGTATCAGAATAGCCGTGGATATGATATTCGAGACACCAAAGTTCAGCAAGCGTTGACATGAACGGTCAAATCATGAACCCTCAATTCTCGTCCACGCTCCCCAACTCTATAGTTCACAGAATCTAGGTGTATGTTTGAACTGTGTCAGAATAGCCATGGATATGATATTCGAGACACCAAAGTTCAGCAAGCGCTGACAGAACGGTCAAATCTCGTCCACGCTCCCCAACTCTATAGTTCACAGAATCTAGGTGTATGTTTGAACTGTATCATTGACGGTCAAATTCCGTCCACGCTCCCCCACTCTATAATTCACAGAATCTAGGTGTATGTTTGAACTGTATCAGAATAGCCATGGATATGATATTCGAGACACCAAAGTTCAGCAATCGCTGACATGAACCCTCAAATCTCGTCCACGCTCCCCCACTCTATAATTCACAGAATCTAGGTGTATGTTTGAACTGTATCAGAATAGCCATGGATATGATATTCGAGACACCAAAGTTCAGCAATCGCTGACATGAACGGTCAAGTTCCGTCCACGCTCCCCCACTCTATAGTTCACAGAATCTAGGTGTATGTTTGAACTGTATCAAAATAGCCATGGATATGATATTCGAGACACCAAAGTTCAGCAATCGCTGACATGAACCCTCAAATCTCGTCCACGCTCCCCAACTCTATAGTTCACAGAATCTAGGTGTGTACTTGAACTGTATCAGAATAGCCGTGGATATGATATTCGAGACACCAAAGTTCAGCAATCGTTGACATGAACGGTCAAATCTCGTCCACGCTCCCCAACTCTATAGTTCACAGAATCTAGGTGTATGTTTGAACTGTATCATTGACGGTCAAATTCCGTCCACGCTCCCCCACTCTATAATTCACAGAATCTAGGTGTATGTTTGAACTGTATCAGAATAGCCATGGATATGATATTCGAGACACCAAAGTTCAGCAATCGCTGACATGAACCCTCAAATCTCGTCCACGCTCCCCCAGTCTGTAATTCACAGAATCTAGGTGTATGTTTGAACTGTATCAGAATAGCCATGGATATGATATTCGAGACACCAAAGTTCGGCAATCGCTGACATGAACCCTCAAGTCTCGTCCACGCTCCCCAACTCTATAGTTCGCAGAATCTAGGTGTATGTTTGAACTGTATCAGAATAGCCATGGATATGATATTCGAGACACCAAAGTTCAGCAATCGCTGACATGAACCCTCAAGTCTCGTCCACGCTCCCCAACTCTATAGTTCACAGAATCTAGGTGTATGTTTGAACTGTATCAAGATAGCCATGGATATGATATTCGAGACACCAAAGTTCAGCAATCGCTGACATGAACCCTCAAATCTCGTCCACGCTCCCCCACTCTATAATTCACAGAATCCAGGTGTGTACATGAACCGTATCAGTCATGGACATTATAATTCGACTTCGAATTAGACTGAGAGCTTAACCATGATGCTGCATACAATGCCACACAAGGTATTATTATCGATGGCAAGACGTCCTGGAGAGCATCTGGCGAAAGAAAAGTTAGGGGCACGCAAGAGCATGTTCGGGGCAAAAAGAGTATTTTAGGGGCAAGAGGAGAAATTTCGGGGCGCGGCGAGTATTTTCGGGGCGCGCATGAGAATATGCCGTGGGAGATGACCTTTCAAAATCTCCACAGTGTCAGCATAGAGTTTCTACAACGGCAGAGAGGGAATCCCTTCCGAGATGAGCGCCGGACTTGTCCCCTTCGTGACGGTGATCACATTGAAACTTTCAATTTGAAAGTTCCAATTGTGAATATGGTCTTCCCGTTTCGTACTCGTATCTCCAACTTCGCATATCCCGACGAAATTGATGATTCGAAAAACGAACTACATGATTAAAAGGTGAACATCATTTCCCGTGCAAGTTTGACAAGTGAATATGCAAGAATGTCACAAGCAAGCTAATGAGCACCCGTGTTAGCCATATGGCATAAGTGCTAACGCCAATACCGTCTACGTGCAGTCCAAGTCTGGCACATTCCAAATATGGTTTCACCGATAGTGTCAATGTCGAGTCTACGTTTGACAAGGGCAGGAATATCGCATGCAAGAATGACAGTAACTCAGCTTATGTCGACACCGCGTAGATGAACATCATACGACCGCACACAAGCTGTGACACGACCAGCAGTACGGCACCACTTGACATCAGCCCTCGTTCTTCGCAGATCCCTGCATCACAGGATTTGCACCTTATGTGAGATTATCAACCACTTGAGCGTACAGTCATAGTTCTTAGTGAATAGCTTGGTGAGCGTGGGAGCATTTCCAGCACGGCTCCGATCGGAAGTTCTTCACGGGGGGACTAGCGTGCTGATTGAACACACATCTGTAGAACCTTGTTGCACTACACTAACTGCCAACTACTCGCAGGCTGTTTTTTAAGCCTAAATGTTAACCAGCATAGGCATTACTTCGATCATTGAAAAGCCTCTAGTACGCATGACTCTACAGAGGTTGGCCAGAGCTGGCTGTGTGCGGCGCTGCTGGTATGCCTCTGTCGCGACAGCAGCAGCAGCCGAGATCCCGACTTACCACCATCCGGACATGTACCGAGACGATATGATAATAAACCTGTATGCAGTGCATAGGCAGGAGATGCCTAATATCATGGTCACCGAGAAGTCGGAGCTCAGCAGAGGACAGTAAGCTCTTCATTGTAGTTGGCCCTGTGGCAGTGTGTGTAAAATATGCACATGGTCAACTATACGTGTTAGTGACGAAACAGAAATTCTGAGGGAATTTTGTTGTTCTATGTTCTAGTTCTACTATGAATTTTTCGAGTAGTTTTTGAGCTCAGCTGTCGAAATCGAACATATTCCAACACTGCACCGTGGATGACGTAGATGATCTCAACAGTTGATACCAATCTCGAGGGTATCGAATAACATCAGTGTGACTTCGATGTGTATTTGAGTCGTGGATGGTATTATCGTCTCACTCGCTTCGTGTGAATCCATCAGCGTAGTTGATACTGTCGTTGGTGATCGTGGGCTCCGCTTCCGCGTCTTGTTCCTAAATCCTAGCTACTCAGGTTTCACACTACGATTTCATGGACATTTGGTAACACTCTGGAAACTCTCACAGCTGATGGAGTCGATCGCAGCAAGAAGGGTTCTAAGAAGGAAGCCGTGCGGAAGCTCATGAGGACACTGCCACAGCACGAGAAAAGTCTCGGCGTTATGTGGAGACAAATGGCCGGCACTCTGGCCAAGCTGCTAGGGGTAGCGACCGGGCCTATTCTGAATCTTTTGAGGAATTTATCATTTAGGTTAAACAGAGCGTCAGTCATTCGCCGGATGTCACTTCGGGGTTAGTGACGTGCTTGGTTGAATGGGAGAGTACAGAGGACCCTGGTCAGCGGTGGGTCGGCCGAGGTAGGCATTTAGGGTGTTTATAAAGTGATCCATACTTGTAGTGTAGGTAGTGGTAGAACTAAAGATGAGGCTGAGGTTAGGGCGCTGAAAGACATTTATGCAGTTGCGGCGCCATGGAGAGAGAAAGCTGCTGTTGCTCAAGTGCAGAAGAGGCATCAGCTCCAGAAGGTAGGGGATGCTCCTGAATACGTTTGAATTCGCGATGGCTGATATGACTACTCCATAGGAGTCGTTTTCGCTGGTTGGTTGCATTGAGCGATGAAGTAAATGTTCGTTTCCCACTGGTCGAAAAATTTTATGATTTAATACGATCGCTTCCGTCTCAGGAGTTGCCGCATCGAATCAGGAAATTTGTTGGCGACTTGTGGGCCAAAAATGTAGAGAAAAAGTTTATGAAAATTCGTTGATATTTCGGTGCAGCCATAAACACACGTGTACATTTTTCAAAATTAAATGTGATTTTCAATCAGGCAGAGGCAGCCCGGATGGCCGCGGACCTCGAGGCTTCGTCGGCAGGGACCGCTAGCATGCTCTCACAGAAACAAGCTTCGGAGATTATGATAGCGCACAACTATATGGTGATAGTGGCGGCTCTAATGATATGGAGACTTTTCGACAGACTCAACGTCTTTTCCACAACCCTGTGGTGAAGCTCCGGTCTAACCTCGTGGTGGTTCCGCATGAGCTGGGTTTTTTGGCCACCTGTGAGTGGAGCTGGTACTCGCGCGAAGAAGGTCCTGGGAATCCGAGGAAAAGTAAGTAGTGTGCATGTTACTCGAATGGATATGCCTCCAGTGTTGGAATATATGATCACACTCCTTAGCTGGGCTCGGGCCCTCCCTCATGATAATGAGAGTTTATATGCGAACTCGGGTAGAAGTGTACAGAAACCAACAATGACTTCCTCACAGTTTTCATATTTTCACCGACATATGTAGTTGACCATGTGAATATTTTCCCATACCGTCAGCCTGTCACTCACTCGACCCCGTCAGCGCTCTTCTGGATTTTTCTCACTACCGTACAGTATCAACCTGCTATTGTACGTGCAGCAATCTTAACTCGTCACCCCTTGCTATGTCCTTCAAAATTATCAAGTATTTCTCGGCTGACCCGTGGTCTTCTATGGTAGGGAGGATGATGATGGTTTTGCTCAGGATCTGCATCCACCAACGGCATCGCGGCAAATCAAAAGATAGCCAAGGCAGAGGCCTGTAAGGCAACAGGTGGAAGGTCGGGTTAGCATCCCTTTGTGGGTTCCTTAGGCCGGTTAATGCTGGAGAAGTATGGCGCATTACAGCCGATATCGGCAGACCAATGGAGGCTCGCTGATGTTATCAATGGTATGGTAGTGTCCTGTAGCATCGACCAGGCGGTACAAAAAGCTGTAGAGGCTATAGGGGACACTCCGGTAGGGCTTTCTGTGCCAGCTTGCACGATGGGCTTCATAGTATAGGCTCTATATCTATAGAGCCACGGTCGTGCTTGGCTTCGTGTATAATCTCTTGCTAGTCGTAAGTTGAATAGTCTAATTGGGTAGCAGAGCTGATTACTGACAGGACAACCCGAGTTCGATTCTTGCTTGGTACATATCTTTGCCACGATTGTGTTATGGCACTCACTGCTGAACCTCATAAGACATATCTAGGCATGAGAGATGTTTATCCTGTCACAGTTGTTCTCTTAGACCCACGTATGGACACTGTTTCTCCTCAATGTGTGGCGAGCAGTCCTCGCGAATGGCGATAGTGCTATGGTCGGGAATCTGCTACTGGCCTTAGGAACTAGTAATAGGGGATCTTAGACTGCTATCTTTGCGGACCTCACCTGTGTAGGAACTCGAACCGATGGCGTCCCTGTGTACCTTTGGGAGGCTATGGTTGACGAGTGTTCGAACTTGACAGGTAGGCATCTTGTTATGCATCAGAAGTGGAAGACTAGGGTTGTCCTCGACTGTGCTTTAGAGACGTGTTACAGCAATACTGTGTGGCACTTGGCTTTGTGTTCAGAGCCGAGTTTAGATGGCCTTATGCAGTCATCAGGCTCACTATCTCTCTTTCTCAGATTTTGTCTTCAGCACGGGCATTTTGCAACAGTTCCTAAAGGCCGCTCAGTGCGAGGTTTGGAACGAACACAGTAATAGGCCTAACCGGGGCCTCCCTTTCCTCTCACCATGCCAGGTTTGACATGGGCGAAGTGGCGTGGCTTGCTGGCATCAGAGCGCATTGGTGTCATTCGACATGCCCTCACTGAGAGGCAGGAGCTCGGCATCCGACCAGTGAAAGCCGTGATGAAGAGCTGTGTTCTGCCGTGAGGAGCTGTAGTGGAATCATTTTTTGCTATGAAGTGTTTCAGGATCGTACAAGTGATGGTGCCCACAGATCTCGCAGCTGAGCACGATATTGGTACTGATTCCATGGTTGTTCTCTTTGCTGCTGATGAAGACTTCCGCTTGGATGCATCTGGCGAATCGGCAGCGGTAGAGATGAGATGTATAACACTTTCGGAGTAGTATGTAGGTACTTGGAGTTGTGACGAGTTCTAAGCGGGAAATTGACACCGGCATGACAACAGTTACCCTGAAATTGGCCAGCAAGGTGAGTTAGCTTGTTTTTGATGGGCATCTGCGATGTTCCAGACTTGAGGCTGTTGGGGCAGATTTGACGAAACTCTTTCAGGAAGCCGAGTATGACGCGCGTCTGGGTGCTAAGAATTTGATGGCGAGCGAAGAGGTCAATTGTCTATTTTTGGACGATACGAATGTCACGTGAGAACTTCTGTTAGTGGGAACGCGTTGATCTGAGCAGTACTGCTCGAGATGATGTTTTTCTCTATGGGAGAACATCACGTCATCTCTTACGTGATTGGTGTGCTTTAATATCACAGCTCCGCTAGCTCAGCTGGTTAGAGCGTGTGGCTGTTAACCACAAGGTCGGTGGTTCGAACCCACCGCGGAGCGATTTATTTTTTCCTTAATTTTCTGGTGTTTCGTAGACCAGTGAGTGATTATAAAGTATGCGTAACATGTGGGGTGTATATCCGACGAGTGAATGACAGCAATCTCTTTAGTTACGCTCGTATGTGCGATGCCCTTCGAGCTCTCTATGACACGCCCAAATGCGATGACGCTATGTTCATCAATACTGGAGTCGGCATGACCCAAGGGACCGAGCCTGGTCGACAACCGTAACGTCATCAATGTTATTTTAAGAGGCTCAGATCGTCTTGCGTATTGGCTACAGTTACTACTTCGACCCCGTTATGAAAGGTGCGTTGCTGGGCACAGGAGCTGCCCCATGTCCCACTAAGGATGACGTCGGAGACTTGGGGATGCCTCTCACAGAAGCTCAACTCAACGCGGTAAGTCTTAAGCCTTGCCAAAGTGGGCATCTGGTGCGTGGTAGATTCGCTCTTCTTGGGAAACTCCTATAACACTAATTCAAGGCCCTCCAGGGACTGGCAAGACACACACAGCTGTTGCTCTCGTCAAACACTGGGTTGTGAACAAAATAACCGCCCGAGGTATGCCCTCGAATTGACGTGTTCGACAGTGTTCGAAGGCACCGTCTCAGGCGAGGGGAAGGTATTGGTGGTGGCGGATTCCAATGCAGCTGCAGACAATATCCGTGGGCTCATGGTCAAGGCTGGAATCGAATGCTATCGAGTCGGTCGGGCTCAGGAGACGGATGGCGGAACCCGGGAAGTTTCTGATGACGTTTTAAGGAAGCTCGAAGGTAGCAACTCCACACGAATAGGTTTGCCGCAGTAGTTCCAGGTACTCGTGCTGTTCGTGATTACCGACGTGCCGTAATACTGGGTGATATACATAAGTTGCCGTATTTCCGGCAGAGAATCGATAAGGCCGCCGTAGACGAGTAAGCAAGATTAGCGGATTCCGACAGTGGTACCAACATCCCATGATAGGTACCAAGTCTTGGTCGCCACGTGTATTGGGAGTGGCCATCAGCTCTTGGACTCGGTTGATTTCGAATCTGTCATCATAGATGAGTGTACTCAGGCGACGGAGCCAGCCAGTCTGGTTCCTCTGGCAAGAGGAGCGAAGCGATGCGTATTGCTGGGTAAAAAAAACGTCGCGCGAGTCTTCCTTCATCGTTTACAATCAGGTGATCATAAGCAACTGCCAGCGACCGTCCATTGCAATACTGCAAAAAGTGGCGGCTTGGGCATCAGCTTGTTCGAGCGGCTCGCCATGAGTGGCACTCCGGTCCACCTTCTCGACATTCAGCGTAGAATGCACCCGAGCATAGCCGAGTTTTCGAACCATCACTTCTATGACAACCGAATAAAGCATGAAGTTTCCGATCGCCCACTCATCCCCGGCCTCCGCTGGCCGAACCCACAGATACGAGTCGCCCTTGTCGACACATCTCAACTCATTGCCGGTGAATCAAAAGTCGGCACCAGCTTGATGAACCGTGAGGAAGCACGGTTATTGCTTGATGCACTCTATGACGCTGTTGCTAACGGAACACCTCCAGGTCAAATTGGTTTGGTTGTTCCATACAATGCTCAGAAGTCCCACGTGATAGCTGCCCTCAAGGAAGACACTCGTTTTTCTCCCGAACAGCGTGCAGCGGTTCAGATCAATACTGTTGATGGTTTCCAAGGGCACGAGAAAGAGCTCATATTCTTCAGTGCTGTCCGGTCCAATGTTTCAGGACAAGTAGGCTTCATCGCGGATCCACGGCGTATGAACGTCATGCTCACACGAGCTCGTCGTGGATTGGTGGTCTTCTGTGATGTGAACACCATGACGGCTTCTGGAGGCCATTGGAGAAGTTGGGTAGAGTGGATCGAGCGGAAAGGCGGTATAATTACAGCTGCTGATTGGCGGCGTGGGTCGCGAGGAGAGTGATTTCCACTACGGCCATTACAAATAATTTATCAATCATCATCAGATCTACTGAAATCCACTCATCACCGGCGTAGCATTATTTCAAGTTTCTGCATGCTCGTTTCTGTTTAATAAGTGTGTTGGTGTTCGCAAGTTTGGCAGCTGATCTCTGTTTGAACCTGTGGATATGCAATGTAGATTCCTCCTCGGTATGAGTGTTAATTGGACATTCTGCGTCACCCATACCATCATATATCTTCCGGGTTTCAAATATAAGTCGTAAAACCCGGGTCCAGCATCCCATGGTTGATACTCTCATCCATGCTCTATTACAATCATGACGTGGATCCAAGTCCTTGGAGATATCCCCTGGGTCATAGATGCACTTTAATGCACTTTTTTTCTTCCAGCCTGGAAAGGACTAATTTCCCTCCAGTTGGACTTGGGAAAGCGGGCACTTCAATTGGCCACAGAACAAATTGAGTAGGAGATAATTCACTGCCATGTGGCATTTGGACTCATTATCTACCGCTAAGCACGTCATCAACACATGCATCGTGCATGATACACGCCACGCTATACACCCCTCCACACATTCTTAGCATATCCGGTTTTTCGACTCGTGCACAGCCACCACAACGAGTATCACCTCGCGGCTCAGGGAGGTATGTACTTATGCTCTACCTGATATGAGAGTAAAACATCTAGGGATACCGTTATGAACGATCCTTTTTCTGTTGATGTATAGCATTAGATCAGGAGGGGAGTTATAGATATACTCCCCGAGTAAGAGTTGGTATTTCAAGGCGCAATTTTAACACGTGTATGCTAAGAATACGTTGAGAAAACTTTTCACCAGTCTTCGACTTATCACTAACTACGAAGAGTTAGGCCCTGAAACTTGGAGGTCATATCAGGTAAAGCATAAGTACATACCTCCCTGAGCCGCGAGGTGATACTCGTTGTGCTCAAAGGAGATCGTCCCGGTACTCGCGGACGATACAGTGTAGAGTAGAAATGGTGACTCGATCAATCCCACCAAGATGCATCTACAACTATAGCCCCTCCTACTTCCAAGCCATTCAGTCCAATCATGCTGAACAACATTCATGATCCCGAACACAACAACAAATTTGACTCGTATTTTCTGCATAATGCTACGTATAATACAAAAATATTCTACGGCGAAAGGTACAGTGGCCACCATACGGCAGCTAGGCTGAAGCCCAGTTGAATTCCATGAACTAGTCGTTCCAGCCTCGGAAGGCCAATGGTATCTGAGACGACGAACTCGGTCTACTTCCAACCTCGGATGCCCGTTGCCAGTATTGATATGAACGGGATGTAGTCAGACAGAGCGTTCTCCGCAACAACTCACCTGCGAGCGACTCGCCGAGACATGACCATTCGCTTATCGCTTCGCCGATCTCCTCCTCTTCAGCAAAGAAGACAAGCAAGTCTATGTAGTCCTGGTAGAGGCCCATGCCTCGATACGACATACTCACGTAGAATGACCGAACCAAGAGCAAGGATATATGAGCGGCATCAACTTCATTAGAGCGGCACGGCTGGAGGATGAGCCTTCGGACGGCCTTGGCCAATAGTAACATCTCAGGCTCCGCATTGTCGACTTCACTCTTCAGCCGCTGTAGCTCAGGATTCACATCGTACCCTGTCATGAAGTGAAGCTCTACCTCCAAATCGAGATGAGGTATTCGTAGTTGTAGGTACCGGGGGACCGGGTCTTCATATAGTATAGCCAGACGTTTAACGTCAGCTGTGGAGGATGAGGAGTAGTAGCCCGTACTCACTCGAACAACCGTCCAATCATTTGCCTCGGCGGCACAGATCAACTGCAGTCTCGACGATACGACATCGTCATTCACAAGGGCCACTTTGAGGGTGGTGTCGTCTCTGCTGGCCATTCCAGCGGCGAACGCCCCAAGCGGGACTACTTCCATCCCCGTCACGCGTTTTATATGCGATACCACTGCGCGAGCTAACTCGACTTGGGCGGGTGTGGCCTCCCAGTATTTCAAGGAGCACCGCAATCTGTTCGTAGCGTCCAATGAGGTCGGACGATACGTGACGCAACTGCCGTCTATCTCTTCAATGCTGATCCCAGACAGCTCATGGAGGTTCTTCTGGCTAACCTGAGTAACCACTGCATTCCCACGTCAATTCAATACCTTGCCCGAATTTTTAACAATTTGCCCACTACTTCCAGAAAATGTCATTTTTTCCAACTTTTTACCTGATGACTGGTACTGGTAAGTGGTCGAAAGTGACTGGTTTCAAGGAATTCTCGAAAATTTTAATAGCTGGTCTTTTTGAAAACGTACCGACTTCAATTAACGATGTTCGTTTTGGCGAAGATACTCCGCTTGAACTGCTGTACAGAACCCCTCGACTCCCGCATCACTAGTGCGATGTCGCCAGTGGATGAAATGCCCTCGCCTACCTCATCTTTGGAGAGTAGATCCCGAAGTTTGATACCACTCCTTAGCTCAATCTCATCGAAGAAATTGAAAACGAGCTCTCCATGAGGAATGTACCGTCTGCCGTCAACACACGTCTTCCCATGCAGCATGAGCAGGTCCACTATGCATTCCCGAAGTAGTAGTCGCTGCTGGCCCGAGGTCATCGGTTCCTTTTCGAGGTAAAACCTGAGTATCCATTGCAGTGTGCCCACGCAGACGCACCCTAGACCCGACCTACATGCCATCTGCTGCATCGGCTTTGATATCATTAGGTGCTACAAAAGTCAGTTTGATTGGACTCCCAGCCGCGCGCTCATCATGGACTGCCTTTGGAGATTTCTTATCCCCCTGCGCGAGTGGTTCAGTCATGTTCAAAGCGGACTTGATGCCATTTGATTCTCCCCGTCCCCGCCGGTCTTCGACGATCCGATCAACCTTATGACGCTTAGCCACGGGTTCATCTCCCAGTGGCCGACCCTCTCGCGGGGGAAACGACGACTGTGGAAGACTTCGGTCAACTTGCCGTGACCGATCCGGCGGTTTCAAAGGGATAGGGTTCAAAGGCCGCGGTGAGGGAACTTCCTCATCGTTCGGTCGATGTTTGCCATCGCCGAATCGGGGAGCCAGCGGCATCGGCATGGGAAGCGCCGACACCGCATCTTGCGAGGTCGTGAGTGGGTTTACCACCACCTTGCGCATCGTTGTCGCCTGACTGGGTTGACCAGACGTGCCGGATAGAGGCGCTCCTCCGCCCACCGGCCCAGCATGCCTCGACGTAGGAGGCAAAGGTGCGGCACCAGGAGGTACCCGTAGGCCACCTCTCATCGCCCCACGACCACGCCCTCTGAACATAATGGACCAACTGCGTAGACATCAACATACTCTGGACCATTTGCAGATCAATTCGACGTTTAAATGTGGTCTCAGAAATCTTTAAGGAAAGTTCGCTCACTATTATTTAGCTTCGCAGAACATGAAACCTTATCGACTGTGGTAGAGCAGAATAAACTGACCTCTCCTGGGGTTCGCCAGCCCAAAATGAGATTCCATGAGCTACTTAGAGGCAAGCCATTATCCGATCCACCTGATGTTCAACAGCCGATTCGAAGTTCTGGATGACTCTCCCAGTTCTCAAAGTTTCCTCACTGCACCGAAGAATTGGAAAATGTTTCAGATTGTCCGAGAGAACGATTAAACGCCCATCTACTCAACACGTTAACCCACGTGAACGTAAAACAATATGTCTGATGCTTTGCCAGAGTCGGTCATTGTAAGCGAACTCATACTTACCTATTCAACCTTATAGCTCAGCAACACTCGTAAAGAAGATCAAGTGGAGTAATAGGAGGACAATGATGTAGCTTATAATACCGTACATATAGTGCGAACGGAGGTCGGATATCAAACAGAATTGGATCAACTGATTTACGAAATGAATGAACTTACAAAGATTCTACACCAACTATGGGAGACGAATGAAAAAATAACGTGCAGGGGGAGTGAAGTTCGATGACACTACGAACACATATACCCGACCTAGACTCTCCAGTATCCATCTCAACATCAAGCCTTGAAGATTCGACATATTATTAGTAATAATAATACGAGTGGGAGTCATTAGACTGAGAACAATATATTGGTCACTACTATATCATCCCAACTTATTATATTCTTGTAGTGACATCCCCACTCGCCTATACGCACATGGCATGGTAGCTAGGCTAGACATCAACACAGCTGTATTGTGCGTGATGTACGATAGTGGAGGATTACGAGTAAGGGGGAGAGAGGTTCGAACCAGCAAGCAACACACAGTTCTCCTCCCGAAACATATGCTGCGGCAAGTAAATTATGAACTGAACATGACCCAGATTATCGGTGAAAGTCAATTAATGAGGGCGAGGAACTTGTTAATTCGTGATCTTGACGAGGAAGAAAGAAGTGATGATTGTCTGTTCTAAACTCAGCGGTGCCAAGGAATGGGAAATGTAGAGGCGGAGGGAACAGCACTGATACTCTTATTGATACTTTTATTTAAGTTCAGTATAATCGTGCGTGAAATATTCACACTCATATAATATGAGTCATATTTCTTCTACAATTCTCAATAATATGATCCCACGTCAGCAGAATCACCCCTACGTATGAAGTTCACTCGTTTGAGTCACCTCTCACTCCAAATTCCTCTCAAGCCCGTTCACTCTCCCTATAATTCGACCTTATATCGTGCGTAATTCTGTCCCTCAATGTCGTGCAAATTCTGCACTTGGGTAATTTATGGGCCTGTTTCATAGGAGCAAACTGCGCCTTAAATATCCCACTCCTGGTCGCGTGGGTCTGGTGGGGCGGTTCGGTACGAACCAACCCTAGAAGTATCGATGAGGGAAAGACACTCAGAGACACAGAGTCTGAGTGACACTCAGTGAGTGTGCCGACAGTTCGTGTCTGCACCCTCTTCGGTACTTGCTCCCGGGAGTGGTGGGATTGGGATAAAATTCAGAAGATCCTTCAGCCCGTGACCCTGTTATGACAAAAGGAAAGCGGGGAGGATCCGCTCGCCTCACCGTTACATCTCTGCAGTGCGAATTGGTAGCGGAGCGACGCGACCATCCGCATCGGTATTTAACCTAGGTTAACTAGTTAACCTCTATTAAATATCCCACTCCTGGTCGCGTGGGTCTGGTGGGGCGGTTCGGTACGAACCGACCCTAGAAGTATCGATGAGGGAAAGACACTCAGAGACACAGAGTCTGAGTGACACTCAGTGAGTGTGCCGACAGTTCGTGTCTGCACCCTCTTCGGTACTTGCTCCCCATACCAGACCCCGGGGCAGGAGTAGCAGGAGACTTGCTCCGAAGGCTATATGGGCTGCCCATAATGGGCACCAAGCTTTAAGCGGCTGCCAATCGACACCAGATTGGCACGAAAATTCGAATAACCCATAATCCCCGTGTCAGCAAAATCCCGCGGCCTGCTGAGCAGACTCTGCTTGTGTGAGAGTCTAAAGTGATACGGCTTAGTTACAGTCTAACTGTCAGACTATCATCGATTCACAGTAGCTCGCGACCGATTAGCTCGGCCTGTTAAATGCGCGGTTCGTCACATCAATGAATGTTGCTCCCGGAGCGAGATCATCCTCCGCCAGGATTCCTGGCCCAGGATTATTCCTCTGCTCTCGGCGGGGTCCGCTTCTACATCTGCGGGTGGTGTGCACAACCACGGAACACCAGCGCCTCCCGCAGTGTGTCGACCAGAAGCATCATCTCCGAGACTTGAGAGGTTTATGCCCAAAAAAGGCCACCTCCGACCGGAGACCATCGTTCCCGATGGCAGTAGAGTGTAGTTCGAGACTAGAACCGTTAGCCTGTCCAACGTTATCGGTGGTGGTATTCAGCGGCACTCCCTTGGCCGGAGGGCCGCGACTCTTGGCGCCTGGCTCGACAGTCTCGAGCCCTTGACAACAGAGAGGAACTCTCGCGTCATGAATCTGATGACGGTTAATGTTTCTGTTGAGGCTGATTGGTTGAGTCAGAGTCTCTGACAGAGACACTCGCTCGTTCTTTGGCGGCCGCCGTGAGTGGCACCCTCCCAACAAACAAATACGACTCTCAGTGAGAGTCTCTCACAACCATTGGTACCGTTGATGGTTGTGTCACAATCATTATGAGAGACCGACTCTCACGGCGGTTGTCGTCCACCATGTCGATGGGCAACCACTTTCGCTAAAGCGAGTTATGCGCTCGAACGAGTTATGGTCTCCACTGGTAAATCTGAGCTTGCCAATGAGCACTGGCAAGCTTCGCCTGGCTGCTTGTTCGATGGAACCTGATTGATCGCATCAAGTTGTCTCGGCCAAATGCTGTCCGGATGTTCGAGAGTTCACAGCGGTGTGCCACGATCTCCGGAACATTTCGGATTGCAGTTATAGTCTGAACTGTCAGTTCAGAACTGAGTTCCGATTACTGAAACACAGTGAAACCCACAGCAAAATCCGAATCGGAGAAATTCAGGATCCTGGCCTTTGAACGGCGCCGATCCGATCGCCTGGGCTGACCGCCTCAGGTCATATTGAAAACCGGAACGGCATGTCGTTGACAATGTTGACTTGACATCACTTGGTTTCCTCCTGCCAGCGAGAGGATTGATGCCATCGAGTGGATCGACCCGAACCACTATTTTATTCATATTATAAGCTGCTGACCAGGCGGCAGTCATCGCAGTGCAAAGCGACCCCATGGTAGTGAGCGAGGAGGTGAGGGCCTCACCGTGAGACAGTCTCACTGAGCCTCCGATTGTCTAGCTCTCCTAGGCTAGGCGACGAGCTCAGCCCGCTAACACCAGCGCTTCTCGACGAGTGACACTACCCACTGAGCGATGACTAATGACAATACTTACTATGGTATGTACATCGTGAGTGTGCCAGAGTGCATGACAGTGTCATGATG